AATCCATGGAAAAGAGTCTTAGGAACCAATTCCGAGCACTCGAGATGACACTAAGCGACACGAAACAGAGCTCAGAAAAAGAAAATTAAACGAAAAAAATTCATTCGTAAAATTTCAATAAAAATGAAAGGAAGGCAAATGACCGGGTCATTACATTGCTATTGTTATGATATTTTTGGGGCAAGTCTATTGGCCTAGATATTGTGATGTACATTACTTTTTATTTTTCTATACATGCTATATTTTGGATGTCATATCATTGTATTGATATATCTATCTGTGATTAACTCCATCAGGTACATCCCAGTGACTTCAGTGAGAGAGAGTACTGCCCAAATTTTTAGGACCACCCTTTTTCCTCTCTCTTTACTTCAATTCTTGTCCCATTTACACTTGCATGTCCACTGCGCACTATTATTATCCCTTTTGTTATCTAATGAGTTTTATCCAAGTGCCATCTTTTTAGGACCATAGTTAATCCCAAGTTTTGGGGGGGGGGGGGGGGGGGGGGATTATTCCACCCACTTTGGATACTTGTGTCTCGGCCATTCTTCGCCATAGCTACACTGGTATACTCTTTCCTTTGTTCTCTTTGCACATTGAGGACATTGTGCCATTTAAGTTTGGGGGTAATGGTGTTAATTGCAGTATTTGCTTTCAATTCAAAATTTTAAGCATGACTTGTGTATTTAAGGGATTGTCTATGATTGGTCCATAACTGGCTATGATTTTGATCTTTTGAGAATTATATTGCTTAAAATTTAAAAATTGCTTGACTTGAGAGTCCAATACTCCTTGTATGCCTTGTGGATGCCATTTAAGAGTAAATTTTTTGAAAAATTGATATCTTGCTTGCACTTGTGGTCCACATCATCCTGATTTTGAGATTATTTTGAGATTCACTCTAGGATTCTACACTAACACAGACGCATACTAGCATTCATTTGTGGGGTACATGTTTTTTTTATTATTGAATTGGTTATATCCCAATTGAGCTATTAGTGTATTGAAAGCTTTCATTTTGACAAAAGTGGATAACAACCCCTTTTCACTAAGTAGCTGGGATTCTAGCCTTATCAAGCATTGAATTTCTCGCGCCGAAAGGTGGGGGGCCCAAACTTTAGGTTAATAATTGGATCTAAAAAATAATAATAATAAATAAATAAATAAAAGGTTGCAAAAGCAATAAATAAAAGTGAGGACTTCTCCCAAAAGGTGAGAAGTAGGAAATGATTAGATGGAGGTTGTTTTGATTTGTAGCCTAGTTGATTTGAGCTTGTAAGTCCTTAGGAGTGTTTGAACTCCTAATGCCCTAAAGCCGTCCGATTTGGGAGTCATTGACCTAACGCTCGACCTCATGAATCGCTAGAAAGCTTAATAGATCAACACATTACACCATGCTTTCATCTTTAATCCTTAGGGATATATATATATATATATATATATATATATATATATATATATATATATAATCGAGTGAAAAGAATAAGTGCACCTAGAACAATAAAGCTTTAATAAAAAGTCCACTATTTGTCTTGATGATCAGTACTAGATTTGTGTGCTAGTTTAAGGGTAAGGATGCGATCATTTCTTTAGTTGGCTTATATAGCAGCATATTTGATGTCGGTCCACTCAAAAAGGATTATAGTGTTGTTTTGATTTGCATGATCATTTTCTTGATGTGTGGAGGACCATATTTGCTTGTTTGATATTGAGATTCTAGAAGATTACTTGAAAATGGTAGAAAAATTGCATACTTGAGGCAGTTTTCTCCCAATGCTTGTTTGCAATATTGGTGCATTTTTTGTGAGAATGAACTTAATGTTTGTGGGTATCATTTCTAGAAACCCTTATGAGACTTCACTCATCCACTAGGGGTAACCTAGGGGTTTAAAAGGCTTGTTGCATATGCTAAATGTAATCGTATTACCTACGAAAATGGCGTTATTCGTTTATTGCTTTCTAGATTCATAGTTGTATAGTTATTCATTTCATTCCTTTACTTTATAGTTTATTGCTAGGGACTAGCAATATTTAAGTTTGGGGGTGTGATGAGCACTGAAAAGTACGCATTTAAACCCCTTAAGCTTAGGTATTCTAGGACCTTTATCTATCTTACATTTCTGTTTTAGACTAATTTCGTGTTATTGTCCTTTTTAGGTGTTTATCCCCAAAATAAGCTAATTTAGCCAAATAAGAGCTTAAAAGAAGCTAACTCAAGCTGGATAGAAGAAATGAGCAAAGTGGAAGCAGAATGAAACAAAGTGTGGAAATCAACATGTTCGATCGATCTCAAGAATACTTCGATCGATCAAAAGTTCATCGATCTAGACTCTCCAAGATGGATTCAAGTTCTTTTGTCCTTATCCAAAGATCCCACAAAGTTCGATCGATCCAACAATTCTTAGATCAATCGAAAAGATTCCATCTTATCCTGTTGTACCACCCCACCTACGACTTTTGTCTCTTTCCCTAAAATATCTCAGATCTGTCCTTACCCAAAAAGGCGCCGCCATGAAAGGATCGATCTAGCCAAAGTTTGATAAATCTCAGCCAAGTTCGATCGATCTCAGCATAGGTTCGATCGATCGAACCCTTTCAAGTGCAAATTAAATCAATTTCCAGCTCATTAAAAGCTGTCTTATGGTGCAATCATTGGAGGAGCCCTTATGTACGAGCCTAGACCATTGGGTGTGACATTTAAGCTACCTATATAAGGATTATCAACTATTTTTACACATATGCTTTTAGGAGTTGATAGAGACAATATTTGACTATTCTTAGAGAGGAAGAAAAGAGAAGAGGAGGCTAGAGACACATTCTTGGGAGGTCTTCCATCTAACTTAAGAAGAAGAGCATTTATACCATGGAGATAGCCATTGAGGGTTAGAGGACACCATCCATGAGTGGCTGGACATCCTCTTGGGGCTAGAGTTAGCCCTAAGTATGCTTTCTTTACCTTGATTTATGTATTTTTGAGGGGATTTGTGTTGTAATACATGTTTTGATATCTTTATATACATAGATCTTATTTATTCAATGATTTGTGTGATTTAATTCTTCCAATTGATCATTTCATTCTATCCATATATCTATGTATGCTAGAATAGATGTTCATGTGTTTAGCTCTATCTCTTGTGTTGTTGATGCATGTCTATGTGTGTTGATGCTATAGATCAAAAATTGTCAAGACATGTGCTTAATATAATGCTTTTGTGGTTTATTTGATGGTTCATACTCATTTCTTGATGAATTATGCCTTCCCCTTAGTTTAATTAGTTTAATTTTCATGTCATTAGCTTAGATGTAGTGTAGTTACCTTAGTTGTTAAATGGGAGGACAATCCATGCTTATTGTTTGATGTTCCATACTTATGAATGCAAGTAGTATATTTCTCTAATTATGTGATGTGTTTGGATTGTGAGCTTAAAGAATGATTAATGGCTTAGTTTGATATATTGTGCTATTCATTGTGTTGTTTAGACAATATATACTTAATTAGTCATCCATGCTTATTGAAACAACCACACACACTCACTATTGTTGCAACATATGTTTTCCCCCTCATTAATTATGAATTGAGTGTATAGAAAGGTGATACTTAGTGGTGATCTCTAAGTCCCAAGACCTCTCTCTCTTGTTTTCTCTATCCTTTAATTACTTATTTTATATTAAGCTTATTTAATCTTAATTGTAGTTTAATCAACCAAACAATCTACCTTTGATCACTCGACCTACTAACCCTAAGCATTGTTTCCATTACTAGTAACCCTCTAATCCCTTGGGATGATCCCTACTCACGCTTGCTACGTTAGTAGTAGTGGTAGTAGCAGTTTTTATAAATTTAAACTTGACTCAAAAGTCTTTTCTTGAACCGTACATTCATTACATTATTTTGGCGTATAGGAACGGCCACCGTCACCTAGTTAGGTCATTCCTGAGTTCAAATTCAAGAATTTTGAGTCAGCTTTTCATTGGTACCAATCTCATTTTCATATTTTATTCCTATTGAGAGATATGCTTATTTTAGTAAAATAGTGTAGAGAAATCACTAGTCTTACTTATAGAGGTGTTTAGTCTTGTATCGAGGTATCCTTGAGATGTTATCCTGCCAGGCGATTGTCCTTGTGTCTACACTCATGATGGCACTGTATCCTTTGTGTATTAACCAACTTGGTTGTGACGAAGTTTCTAGTGATTGCAAGAGGATCGACGCTCTCATGGGCCTACTTAGTTGTGATCCAATCCCCATCAATGTTATTGAGCCTGTCCAAAACGTGGGTTTTGTTGTCTTTCCAACCCAGTTCGTTTCTCAATTGATAACCCAAGCCCAATGGATGGTACTGCAACTCAAGTTAATGTGGCTATGTTTTCATGTATTCCTTATCATTGTGATGTGGTCCTTGTTTGTATCCAAGTGGATATTTTATTCCTTATTACGGATGCTCATATGGATGGTTCTATATAATTTTATATTTGTTTGCCCTGAATAAAAAAAGAAATAAATTTCTTGCATGAGTAATGGACTGAAAACTTTTTATAACTGTATCTTAATTCAAACTACTCAAATTAAATTTATACTATTAATATAAATTAATACACTAAAATTGATTAGCATCAGTCCAAGCCAATTCCTATGTACTTCAAAAATATAAAAGAACAGGAAAAGTGGGATTGAAAACTACTCCATGCCCCACAAAAAATGTTCACATTTTTATTTTGTTTGTCCAAAAACAATTATGTTAATTCTTTTTTAATATTTTTAATTTACTTTCATTTCCATAATTAAAGTTATAAAAATATATCAGTACATCCCCATTGTTGGAATGCCTGGACTAGGTAAGTTAACTCTGGCAAGTAAAGTGTATAATTATCCTTTCATCATGTATTACTTTCATATTCGTGCATGGACCTATGTCTCTCAAGTATACCAGAAGAGAGATATATTCCTTAGCATTATAAATTCTGCATGTATTCATGTTTTTGGTAATATTGGCAACATGAGTGATGAAGAGTTAGGTGAGCACGTTTACAAAGCTTTAAAAGCTAAGCGATATCTTGTTGTCATTGATGATACATGGAGTATCAAAGCTTGGGATGTTTTGAAAAGGTATTTTCCAAATGACCGCAATGGAAGCAGAATTGTGTTCACCACTCGACTTGTAAATGTTGCAATGGCTTTGCAGGCTAAACCTCACCATTTCAGTTTTCTAAATGAAGATGAAAGTTGGAATCTATTACGTTTTAAGGTATTCCGAAAAGGGAGTTGTCCTATAGATTTGATAGAAATTGGAAAGGAAATTGTAAAACAGTATAGAGGATTGCCACTTGCGATTGTTGTAATATCAGGGCTTCTCGCAAAGAAAGACAAGACAGAAGAGTGGTGGAAGCATATTAGTGGAAGTGTTGGTGGAAGTTATGTGTTTATTTGGTTTGGGCTTTGCAAGCATGCTTATGTGCTTACGTGATAATTGTTTAATTGTTTAAAGATGAAGCATGCTATGTGTTTAACGGCTTGTATCCATGTGAGTCAGTTTGGGACTGTGGATGGTGCCATTGTTGTTGACTTGTATTTCACTATAGTATGTCACCTCGTAAGAAAGGTCAGGCACTTAGAGGTCTGGGAAATAGGCCTACCATTGGATATGTTGCGGAGAGTGTTGACTTCCACAATTTTGAGAAAATAGGATGCTGTCCCACCACCTACTGAGGAGGGTGGGGGTTTAGTTAAGAAGGTGTTGGTCACATTGTTCAGGAAGTTATGAGAGCCACGGAGCTGACCTAGTTTCAGTGTATATTTCATTTGTGGAAAGTCGAATCATAGAATGAAAGCAAATCCATTGGAAAGATGATAATAGGATGTTAGGAGTTGTATTTAGATTGGTATCTGTGCCTTTCCCAGTTTTGTTGTGTTATGCATCATATGCATACTTGGTTTCATGATTAATGCATTGACCTGTTTGGAAAATGAGTGGTAGGACTGACGCCAATAGCGTTGTCGTTTGTGGATGGCTTATCAGCATAAGCATGTGTGGGTATCATGGCATTTTGCATCGTTGTCAGATGCCCTCATTGGACACAACTTGGCTAGTATCGTGAGGTTTTACCAATGAGGATATAGTTTTGATATGCACTGATTAGTGTTTAGCATATGTGGGTGTTTCATGCATGTAATAGCGGAACGTTCAAGTGTGATTAGTGATAAGGAGTTCAGAGTTGGATCCTGATGTTAGAAAAGTGATAGCAGTTGATGCTAGAATTGACTCTTAGTGACTTGGGATTTGATTAAAAGTGGGTCAGTGATAATGTAGTTGTTTGGGTATAGGATGGCCAAATGGACCGGCCGGACATTATGGACTAGACCCAGCTCTAAATGCAATGTTAAGACACTGACAAGGATAACGATTGGTGTGTCATGGGAGACACTTACGGTTTCAGGAGACGTCATAGTTGTCTCAGGAAAAGGGTATGTTATGGGATTGTGTTAGGCATTGGTGATGCCACATTACATATAAGGACGTTGTAAGCGGGCACTAGTTGCCGACTATGCTACCAGGCTGACGAGTATGTGTGGGCGGGCTCTAGACACCAACATGGCTACCGTTCTTATAAGTATGTGTTGACAGACACTAGTTGCTGTCAGACTAACAGATTATGGTAAGGTGTATTCTTTAATGATTATGATGGTTGAGGATTGATAGTTTTTCATTGATGTTATGCTGGATTGGTGGATTGCCACATTGGTATTCGTGACAGGGATTGTGTTATGGATTTCTCAATTTTATAGAATGTCATGATTATGAATTCCTGGGTTGGAATACGGATAAGGATGGTGATGATAGTAGAGTAATATGGTGATGATTTGGGTTATCATTTAATTGACTTGCATTTTAGTTGAATACCGATTGTTAATAAGGACTGATTGATGCTAGAGATTGATTTTACCTTAACTGGTGATAAGAGTAGACGTCAGGAATAATGTTATGAGTATCTTGACAGTTATGATTTGAGATAGCTCGATTTTGTGGGATTCGAATCCATTATTGCTTGAGGGCACATACTTGTCAGGCTTTGGATTTGTAGATTAGAGTCAGTTGGTAGTAGACGCATTTTATTACGAGAGTTTGTGTCCACTTTTCCTCGTTAGTATCTGGAGGTTTGGAGGGGATTTTGTAGACTGTTGTGTCTGTTGTATGACGTGAGTCCATAGGCTTTGTAGAGTGTGTGGTGATGCTGGTTAGAGTTCTTGACGAGTTCTGTGAGTATGATAGGCGCATCACCTTTTCTTTTTAAGGCGGGTAGATTTCGAGAACGAAATCTTTTTAAGGAGGGTAGACTATGATGTCCATTACTTTTTTGATTTTTCGAGCATTTCTCATTTTCGGCGTAAGTGTTTATTTCATTACCTCGGGTTGCACGCCATGTTTGGGATTGCATGTCACAAAGGTTCTACGGTGATTTGGAGTGTTTCATGGAGTTTAGGAAGCATGGATATGCTAGTTGAACCGTTTGGACAGTTTATGGATTTTTGGGCTAGCGACTCGTGTGGGTCCCACGCCGGAATTTTTGGGTTTTGGAGTTATTTTCTTAATTGAAAAATAATTATCTTGGATGTCATTTTTTTTAGTCATGAGGGTGGAATGGTCATTTGAGGTTGTAATGGCATTTTGGTAGTTAAGTGAAGAGGAGGGGACATTTTGGTCATTTATCATGGTCACACATTTGACTCATAGTGGGCTTGACACATGGACACATGGACATCACATGACATTCATTTTGCTTACCTTTGTATGACTCCTCCACGCAGCCTAGTGCAGATAGGAATTGTTTTCTGCATTTCCATCTTCTCCTTCCTTCGTCACCATCATTAGTGACTATCTTTGAGCTCATTATTGAGGGACTTGTGGTGAGATTTTGATGGTGAGGTGTGAATGAAAAATAACCTAGAGGAGGTGAGGTTTCCATTGATATAGCATATGTGGTCATTCCTTAATCCATGGGTTTCAGAAAGTGCCTTAAAAAGAGAAGGATCTTAGTTGTGCTTCAATGGAGAGCTCTTCATCTTCATCATCTTGTGGGTGGGTTTGATCATCTCTTAGGTAGCTTTGGAGTGGTTTTGCCAAGGGTTGAACTACCTTGAGTTAGGATTGTCTAACCTTCAATTCTTTTGCCTTTAAGTGAGTTAATCTCTTTCAATTTAAGTTGTAAAGTGTATAAAAATGAAACTGAAGCATGCTGACATTGTTTGGTTGAAATTACATGCTACTGTTTTGCTCAAATTCCTGTAAATTCATAATTTATCATTTAGAGATAATTTGATATTATGATAATATAGTTAATTAGATTTTGTTGAGAATTGGTTTCACATAAATTGGTTGAGAAATGAATTTACTATGAATTTTTGAAGTTAGAGTGTTCTTGCTGGAAATTCTTGGTTGGGGCAGATTCTATCCGAGTCTTTCTCATCAAACCTGCTTTAATTGGTAAGGTATTTTGGTGAAGTAAAATTTTATCTTGAAAATATAGTCTTTGAACTTTCATTGGCCTTTGGATTCACTCAATTTGGATGAGAATTGGAATTTTTATGATTTTTCAAAGATGGCAGCTACAGGCTGGAAATCTGTTTCTGGGCAGATTTTATTTTGAAATTTTGGGTCAAAACTGTTCCAATTGGGAAGGGATTCTGTTAAACTAAATTGACACTTCAAATTACATTGTTTAAGCTTTCATTAGGCTTTGGAATCACTCAATTTGACATAGAATTGAAATTATTATGAATTTTCAAAGATGGAGGTAACAAGCTGCGTATGAATTGTTAACAACTAGTAGGGGTTGTTTTAACACTCACACCCTTTGTTTCCTTGTGAATTAAATCTTTTAAATTGAACCATTATATGACTTGAATTAGGTTTTCTTTACAAGTATGTTGTGTAATTCAAATCTGAAATTTTGTAGCTTAGACACAAATGATGTGTTATGTGTTTTAAATATGGAATTTGAGCTCTTAAAATGTTGTTAGTGTTTATGTGCCTAAAACTGAAATTCTAGTGATCACAATGGTTGTATTGTTATTGTTTGACCAGCTGAAAATTATATATTTAGTTCACTTCAATTATGGGCTGTTTTGTTATAATTTTGGTGTTATATTGGTGTTCAAAAACTGAATGATACATTGTCCTTGAAACATGCTGCCATGATAAATTTGCTACCAAAGTGTGTCCATAGAATTGGATTTTGATGTGAGTAATGATGTGCTATTATAATATTGTGAAGCATGTGTCAATCATGTATTACATTGGGAAGCAATGGGACAAAATTGATTTGTTAAGGAGGAGCTTTGAATGGAAAGTAAACTGAATTTTTTTTTTTGGGAAATGTTTTGAACTAAAGTTTATGAAAAACCGGACACTAAGGGGGTACCGAGGGTCCATGGAGTTAATGTAGCCTACAAGGAACTAGGAGATCGTCCTAGCGTGATTGAGCTATCTGGGCCCCAAATGATACCGCGAGGGTACCAAGGGTCAGGAACAGTAGCCAATCCTTCTCTCATCGCTAAGGGGTTACCGAAAGGGGTTACATTAACGGTTTGAAAAGTGACGGTTGGTTTTGGGAAAAAAAAAAATGGGGAGCGACATCGCATAATATTGCACCCATTGCATGGCATATCCATTCATGACTTGGTTTATAAATGTGATATTGTGGTTATTTCTCTCCCGGCATAGCATAGGACTAGCTAAGATATTGATTGGAAAGAATGTGGTAATTATGGAGTAATAGAGATGGATATTCTCAGTTTGTGTTTATGATTAGACATGAGTGGTTATCCTTTTGTCTAGGTGCAGTAAATCATTAATACTAAAAGGTTCCTTAGGTATTAATAGAGGGGTAGTCTTTTCGCGGTACAGGGGCATACTTTTAGACTGATGGTTGTGATAATGAGAAATGTGATTCTTTATATAGAAAGTTGTAATAAAGGAAATGGTTTAGACTCTGTGTATATGGTTCTTCATATTCTTCCGTGTTGACTGTTTTGTGAGACAGCATAATGATGTGATGATTATTTTTCCCCTAATTTGCATGACTCCCTTTCTGATTCCTATTCTTTATTTGGAATCATGGGGGTATTAAGGAGTGGTGGTTAGGCATTTCCTGCTGAGCTGTGGTTGCTCATTCCTATTATATATACATTTTTTTCAGATTATGGACAAAAGGTTGTAGAGGGAATTTCTCCACAGCCATGGATGGACGTTGGGTTCTATTTGGTTATATATCTTTGTATAAATGGGAAATGTATATTTTAAAACCAACATGTATATTTGTAAATATTTTTCCAAAATAAATCATGTTAAAATATTGTAATTAAAGGATTATGGGATTTCAATTATGAAACCAACTTTTATATTTTCAGATAATGTGTGGACAGGGAAATGGACTTTGTGTGTGCATGTTGGGACATGATACGTTATTTAAAATGACTTTTGAAATAAGAGATTTTCTTATTATCAGTCTTGAGTATTAAAGTTTTATCTAAAATTTTTGGATAGTGTTCCAAGGCTCGGTCAGACGTTTTGAATATGAGTATTTCTTTATTCTATTTTATGTTGACAACCTGGATTACGGTCTAGGGTCGTGACAGGAACACCTCCAGTAGTCACTTTCCTAGCCTTCAAATATTGGCATTGGATGATAGTGAACTACTTGAGGAGATCC